ACACACACACACACACACACACACGTACACACACACACACTCTCTCTCACACACACACACACATACACACAGAGACAGAGACACAGAGACACACACACGCACACACACAGAGAGAGAGAGAGACGCACACACACACGCACACACACACACACACACACACACACACACACACACACACAGAGAGAGAGAGAGAGAGACGCACACACACACACACCCCAGCACTCAGAAAGCATTTGTTCCCCCTCATTAGCCACATGCTAACGGTTCAATCAGCCGCGAGTGTCTCAGGTGCTGGGCGTTCATCTCACACTGATCCGCTGACATTACTCTGACATTGAGCCTCATGGAAGATTTCATCTTTAAACGATCGCCATGATTCTTTAAAACTCGATTTGAGTCTATAATGTGGCGTATTTCCCGGAGAAACTGAATATTCAGCAGGAAATCATGATTGATAATTTGTGATACGTTTGGGTGATAAGATGGTATAAAACACGTGACCGTAGAAAAGTGTCATGCCGTACAGATTCTGCTGCACTGTTAATGCTGCAATGTATTTCTGTAGCTATTGCGTAGTTATTTACACGATATCGACACAGGAGCATGTTATAAGTGCAACCAGTTTCAAACAACCATTTATGATTGCAAGCATTTACGATCAACTAAAATGTACTTTAATGTTATTTCTATTGAAACTTGTATCTCCTGCATTTAAATATATTTGTAAATACACATTAGTAATGATGCATTTCAAATTAGTGCATTTAAAATGTATTCCCTTTAAATGTAATATTGAATAGCACAATACAGTTAAAATTATAATTAAGTGCTTTACATGTGCTTTAGTACGTTAGTCAATGCATCAAAACAAGTGTGCTTCTTTAAAACACAACAAATGATTGTTAAAATATAATGATTTAAAATGTACTTAAGTAAAACTTTTAATTTGACATTATTACAAAGGTCACTTTTTAAAAGTGTGCTTAAGTGTGTTTAGAAAGTCACGGAAGTGTCTCTCTTTTAGTCACCTTATTATTATATTATCTACAAGTATAGTTTATTAAAAATATATAATTTTAAGATTTGTAGTGCACATTCACTACAATTATGCGCACTTGATTTTCACTAGTCACACTTCCAGTGATAGTGTTTTTTCTATGGAGCATAAAATAATATATTTGATGAATATTTTAATAAAACATTTTTTGGTGTGTATCCAGTGAAAGTCAATGGGGTCCAAATGTTTCATGCTCCAAAAAGGACGAAAAGGCTGTTAAGTGTTAGTGTATTGCATTATAAAGTTATTACATTTTGATGAAAAAGTATGAGTAGTGTGCATTAATAAATCACAATACAAGCAGAGATATTTATTAAGAAGTAAATAAGGTCCATTTTGACTTGATGTCATTTAAAGTATGATTAAAATACAATTAAAGCATTAAATAAGTTGTGAGATGCCTTTTAAATGCCGTATTTCGGTTTTAAATATAATTTAAGGGGGAAAAAATTTAGAAAAACGGATAATGTCGTTTCAGAAAATTACTAGTATAGTTTCTGATAATTTATGGACATTTCATTCAACTCTAAAATAATTCAAAATATGGGTAAAACACTTCTTAGTTTAGATTTCGAAAGAAAATATTGGTGTAAAACTGTAAAACGTTCTGTCAAAAATTCCTGTAAAACTGCTTGTTAAGGATTTTAGCATATTACTGTGTTGATACTACGGTATTCTGGATGGTTAATGGTTACTGTGGATGGTTCTGGAAAGTTATTTACTGACCCAAAAGTGAAAACAGTCCATTCTCAAATCTATGTGACATTCTGTTAATTGAACATGTGGTTCAGTCCCTCCAAAGTCAGATTTTTGTTTCTTTAATTGTCCAAAAATTGCTAATATAATGCATGTTTTGAGCTCAAACTGTGTAAGACTAAAGGTTATAAATGTCAGCCAACCTCTGAACCAGAGTATGAGCAATAGTAACACACCGCTAATGACCTTTATCCCATCTGTGTGTGTGTTTTCAGGTGTAATAACCGGACGCAGTGCGCCGTCGTGGCTGGACCGGATGCGTTTCCCGACCCCTGTCCCGGGACATACAAATACCTGGAAGTGCAGTACGAGTGCGTCCCGTACAGTACGTATGCGTTTCACATCAACACGTCTGTCTGTGATTGGTCACCATAAACACACCCGAGCATCTTTCTCTTTCAGCTCAGTGGGAACGGCTGCCCGAGAACTGATTTATTTTTGTTTTTCCTGCAGTTAAAAGTCTCTCCTTCATTTGAGCTCATCAGTTCCTATCTGCCACGTGTGTGTGTGTGTGTGTGTGTGTGTCTCGCTCTCTGTGTGTGTGTGTCTGTGTGTGAGAGAGTGTGTGTGTGTGTGTGTGTGTGTGTGTGAGTGAGTGAGGGAGAAAGTTTGCATGATGACTTTGGTTACTGTGAGCTCTGTGATAAACTATGTAAGCGCTGCACTTTGTCAAAATGAGTAAGTTGCCAGATAGCTAATGATAGCGTTTGGCCATGATAGATCGGCTCTTCTGTATCTTTAGTTATGAGAGCGCAGTGTTGCATCCATCTACCTGCAGGAATACCTGCGCTGTTTACTCTGTTGGCTTTTCCTTACTCCAGTGCTCGTCTTTACTGATAAATGCCCGCCATGCTAGCGTTGCTGTTCAGTGAATTGAGTTTAATTGCTGCAGAGGAAACAATGACTGTTTCTCACTTCCTGAAACGTCCATACTACTGTTCAAAAGTGTAGGGTCAGTAAGATTTTATTTGAAAGATATTAATGTTTTATCCAGCAAGGATGCATTAAATTGATCAAAAGTGACAGTAAAGACATTGCTGTTCTTTTACACTTTCTATTCATCTATGAATCATGTAAAATGCGTCACGGTTTCCACAAAAATATTGAGCAGCACAAATGTTTTCAACATTGATAATAATCAGAAATGTTTCTTGAGCAGCAAAGCAGCATATTATACTGATTTCTGAAGATCATGTGACACTGAAGACTGGAGTAATGATGCTGAAAATACAGCTTTGTTCACAGAAATAAATTACAGTTTAACAGATATTCACATAGAAAACAGCTATTTTAAATTGAAATTATTTTTTATAATTTTACTGTACTAATATTTCTTTTCTGATCAAAGAAATGCAGCCTTGGTGAGCAAAATAGATTTAACATTGAGCAAGTAATTCACTCCTTTATGTGATATTATTTCATAAAAAACCTTCTCTGGGAATCAAACCAATGACTTTGGCATTGTATATACTCTACTTTTTGAGCTGCAGGAACATCAGTTAACTTAAAAATGTAAAATTAAAAATTACTAGCTAAATAAAATTTAATTAAATACATTTGTAAAAAAAAAAAAAACACACACACACACACACACACACACACAAGAAAATAAATAAGAAAACATGCAATAATCTTTTTTTTTTTGTTGTTAATGTGACTATTTTTAATAAAAAAAATAAATAAATAAAACTTGGGCGGGAGAAGATCAGGGTGGCATTATTATGTAGTTCAGCTTTGACCTTGAATTCTTCTGCAGAGTTATTGAAACACACACACACACATATACACACACACACACACACACACACACACACACACACACACACACACACACACACACAACATCATCTCACTATCTTTCAGATAATCAATACATACACTCCTCTGTTGTTTCTGCTTAAATTGTATATATCAGAGTTTAATGGGGCAGAGCAGGCCGACATGTCCGCTTCTGACTATCGCTGCATCTGAAATCAAATACTTCCCTACTATATAGCGCTGGGTAGTAACTGATTATTCACCATTTCTTGATTCTCCTAATTCTTCATGTTCATCTTTTAAATTGTCCTTTCTGAAATAGCCTACCACATTTGACCACTAGATTTACAGAAATCAATCTCAGAACACCATAGTAACTGCGTAGCAACGCCCTGTCAACCACCCAGAACACCCTAAAAACAACCACATAGCAGTGTCCTGGCAACCACCCTAAAGACTGATAACTGCTTAGCAACACACCTAAAAGCCCCTCAGAACGCCTTAGCAATATAGTGATTCCTTGACAACCACATAGCAATACCCTAGCGACCACGAGAACACCTTAACAACTGCATAGCAATGTCCTGACAAATGTAACTGCTTAGTAATCTAAAATCAGCTTAGTTATCTGAATAGCAATTCCCTGGCAACCACCTGGAGCACCCTAGCAACCACATGGCGATGCCATAGAAATCACATTAGTGTTGTAGCGGCGGCTTTTGCACCGGCAGCACCGCGCAGAGTTATTTACACAGAATGTAGCTTTTCTGTTTTGCGGTTTCTTTGGTGAAATCTGAAAACAGAAGCTGCTCCTCCAGTTCCCAATAACGCAGCTTCTGCAGGAGTGTCCGTCCCAGCATGCATTGTGCTCGTTTAATCTTTCGTCTGTCTGAACAGAGAGAACGGTTGTATGGATTCTGGCCGTTCTGAGGCCGGGAGAATGAGAGCTGATTGTTTTGCCAGGGTTTTTTTGCACCTGCGTCTTTCTCTGGCCGTAAGCAATCTTGCGTGCATAAGCTGATCTCACTCTGTGCTGTTTGCGTGTAATGTTCTGTCGTCCCGCCAGACGATTCGCCATCATCCGCTTTAACAAACAGCACCTGTGCTCAATCTGTGAGCGCATGCTCGTTTACCTTTTGCAGGGTTATCAGGCGATTCACCGTTTGCACGACACTGACTTGTTGTCACGGCACCGGGGCGCTGCTGATGCCAGAGTTATTGTAGTTAACTGGAGATAAAAAATTTAATTAAATAAAAAATTATATACTGTATATATTTATACAACAGTTCGTTCTGGTTCTCAAATCTGATTGGTTGAGAACTGTGAGATATTGTACTGGTATCGCTACAGGAACGCCCTTTCACAATTTTGTATCACTCCGCGTGTTCTAGCCGGGTCTATGTTTTTTTTTATTATTCACTGAGCTAATCGTAGAGTACGTTAGTTAATATAAGAAGAAACGTCTAGCTTCGCGGTCTCTATCTCTCTCTCATTTGGATGCACGTCTTGCCGCATTGTTTCTCTCTTATAACCTCATTATTTCTCACTGATAACCTAATTTTTTCTCACTAATAACCTAACTAAAACTTAAAATATAAAATTTTAAGCAAAAACTTAAATATATGATTTAAGATAGTAAAAATATATAAAATAAAATAAATGCTATTTGAAATAAAAAAAATACAATAGGTTAAGTGAAATAAAGTAAAACATAAAATGTATCTACGTTTTTGTAAAAGGTAGTAAAATATATAAATTAAAATATACACACACACACACACACACACACACACACACACACACACACACAACATCATCTCACTATCTTTCAGATAATCAATACATACACTCCTCTGTTGTTTCTGCTTAAATTGTATATATCAGAGTTTAATGGGGCAGAGCAGGCCGACATGTCCGCTTCTGACTATCGCTGCATCTGAAATCAAATACTTCCCTACTATATAGCGCTGGGTAGTAACTGATTATTCACCATTTCTTGATTCTCCTAATTCTTCATGTTCATCTTTTAAATTGTCCTTTCTGAAATAGCCTACCACATTTGACCACTAGATTTACAGAAATCAATCTCAGAACACCATAGTAACTGCGTAGCAACGCCCTGTCAACCACCCAGAACACCCTAAAAACAACCACATAGCAGTGTCCTGGCAACCACCCTAAAGACTGATAACTGCTTAGCAACACACCTAAAAGCCCCTCAGAACGCCTTAGCAATATAGTGATTCCTTGACAACCACATAGCAATACCCTAGCGACCACGAGAACACCTTAACAACTGCATAGCAATGTCCTGACAAATGTAACTGCTTAGTAATCTAAAATCAGCTTAGTTATCTGAATAGCAATTCCCTGGCAACCACCTGGAGCACCCTAGCAACCACATGGCGATGCCATAGAAATCACATTAGTGTTGTAGCGGCGGCTTTTGCACCGGCAGCACCGCGCAGAGTTATTTACACAGAATGTAGCTTTTCTGTTTTGCGGTTTCTTTGGTGAAATCTGAAAACAGAAGCTGCTCCTCCAGTTCCCAATAACGCAGCTTCTGCAGGAGTGTCCGTCCCAGCATGCATTGTGCTCGTTTAATCTTTCGTCTGTCTGAACAGAGAGAACGGTTGTATGGATTCTGGCCGTTCTGAGGCCGGGAGAATGAGAGCTGATTGTTTTGCCAGGGTTTTTTTGCACCTGCGTCTTTCTCTGGCCGTAAGCAATCTTGCGTGCATAAGCTGATCTCACTCTGTGCTGTTTGCGTGTAATGTTCTGTCGTCCCGCCAGACGATTCGCCATCATCCGCTTTAACAAACAGCACCTGTGCTCAATCTGTGAGCGCATGCTCGTTTACCTTTTGCAGGGTTATCAGGCGATTCACCGTTTGCACGACACTGACTTGTTGTCACGGCACCGGGGCGCTGCTGATGCCAGAGTTATTGTAGTTAACTGGAGATAAAAAATTTAATTAAATAAAAAATTATATACTGTATATATTTATACAACAGTTCGTTCTGGTTCTCAAATCTGATTGGTTGAGAACTGTGAGATATTGTACTGGTATCGCTACAGGAACGCCCTTTCACAATTTTGTATCACTCCGCGTGTTCTAGCCGGGTCTATGTTTTTTTTTTATTATTCACTGAGCTAATCGTAGAGTACGTTAGTTAATATAAGAAGAAACGTCTAGCTTCGCGGTCTCTATCTCTCTCTCATTTGGATGCACGTCTTGCCGCATTGTTTCTCTCTTATAACCTCATTATTTCTCACTGATAACCTAATTTTTTCTCACTAATAACCTAACTAAAACTTAAAATATAAAATTTTAAGCAAAAACTTAAATATATGATTTAAGATAGTAAAAATATATAAAATAAAATAAATGCTATTTGAAATAAAAAAAATACAATAGGTTAAGTGAAATAAAGTAAAACATAAAATGTATCTACGTTTTTGTAAAAGGTAGTAAAATATATAAATTAAAATATATATGTTAACTGAAATAAATTAAATATACAAAAACTTAAATATAGTATAATATATAAACTAGTTAAAATATA